CTGGGTAACGGACAACAAACACCAGGGGCGTCAGAAGGTATTTTAGTGTGCTACGCTCAGACATCTCAACTGTACTATTTACGCGCGAGAGAGGCTGAGCTGAAAATTTTGGAAATTCAGAGCTCAAATCAGTGCATTTTATTGATTCATGGGGTACTCGGGGCAAAGAGTGGTACGGTCAATACCGTAGTGACCGTACCGTGTGCGACGCCCCTGAACACCCGAAGGTTTAGTTGTCTGATGATTGCCGACGGGCATGAAACTACTAGCTGCCGCGAATGATCAGATGCGTGGTGCTCCGTGTCGTGTGTAAGAGATAGCTCTATTCAAATGAATATTGCGCACTCTACCTAGCCTGAGGACTCTCAATTGTTTGGCACGAAGTATAACATTGACGAAATCGGCAAAGGCAACAACGATGACGACGACGGCGGCGGCGGCGACGACAACAACAACAACGATGTCTTATTGGCGATGGTGCCATCGTGAGAATAAAGAATTCAAAATCAACAACAACAACAACAACAACAACAACAACAACAACAACAACAACAACAACAACAACAACAACAACAACAACAACAACAACAACAACAACAACAACAACAACAACAATACCAGCAGCAGCACTGGAGGCGGCAGCAATGGCAGAGATAATAGGAATAAGTGAGTGTGGAAAATGTGTCAGTTGTCAGTAAGTAATTCAAACGTGCGTAGGCACGTTCACGCACACACACACAGAGTGGGTGTCGACGCACCCGTAAGATTTCGAATGCACGTGAATGGCCCAAATCCAACTCAACAAGTGGGGAAAGCAGCCATACTCAGTTACTCAGTTACTCGGTGACTCAGTGACTCAGTGACTCAATACAGTGCAGCACTATACACTATACAGTATACTGTAAAAACAGAAATTTTCGGTGGTGTAATATTTCCGGTATTCTCCAAAATCGGCGGTTCGGTGAGAGAAATTTTCGGTAAAACCCGTTTTCCAGGTAAGTGTACTAGTACTACATGTATACAGTACTACAGTGTAGTATCGGTTGTACCGAAATTTTCGGTTGCGTTTTATTATCGGTAAAAATTGTCGGCACCGAAGTTACCGAAAATAAAACACCACCGAAAATTTCTGCTAAAGTATACACTCACATCAAGGTCGCTGTTCGTCAACATCTCCTTGCTAAGACGCTGCACATGATGTGCTCTGAACGCAAACAGAAAAAAAACAAGAACGGGCACACACACACACGCGCGCACACAAACACACAGCACATACACACACACACACACACACACATGCACACACACACACACACGTCCAATGACCACACATACACACACACATACACACACACACACACACACACACACACACGCAGGCGCACACGCACCCAAAACCGAGCATGCGTGGTTGAACACTAGCGTACAGAAATGCAAAACAGAGTACATATTTTACATCAGAGTGCACATTGTATAACATTTTCTCACGAGACGAGCAAAGCATGACATCATCATAATAATCATAGCATGCTTACCGTGCTTCCTCTCTCACTCTCATACGGACTGCATCGTTCTCATCCGGACACTGAACAGTGTAGAGCAAACACATACGAGCAGACATAGAATACTGTAAAAGCAGAAAATTTCGGTGGTGTTTTATTTCGGTAACTTCGGTGCCGACAATTTTTACCTAAAATAAAACGCAACCGAAAATGTCGGTATTAGTACACTTACCTGGAAAATGGGTTAACCTAAAATTTCCCTCCGCCGAAACGCCAATTTTGGAGAATACCGAAAAAACTACACCATCGAAAATGTCTGCTTTTACAGTGCGCGTGTGTGCCCACGCAGGCATAGAACATACTGTCAGGCCTGCCACCTTTCTGGGAGTAAAAGATGCCCCGTCGAGTGTCGTTATACGCAAAGTTGACTATTTATTATTTGTAATAAGTTTTTTCATTTGACCCGACGAGACCATGCGACGCTTGCAGACAACAGCACGAACAGTTCACCAGCCACACTCCACGAAAGCAAGTAGTATTACTCCTGACAAGTCTTGTTTCGTTCCATAAAGATGATGGGGAACTCATCAGAGGAGAAGCAGTTGTTGAATGATGGAGTTAAGCTGAATAATGTTATTTTATAGATAAGATACCAGCGCAAGGTGTAAACACTCAACGGAAGGATGGGATCTGCTGCTCGGATTATAGCGTTAGACGCCAACCCTGCAGTCAAGATCTAGATGGATATGTCGCCTCAGAAGCCCACAGTTCTATGGAAGATGGCAACAAAGAATTATGACTTCTCTTGGACCAGGAAACCTGCCATTGTCAGAGGAAGAATATGATCTGCTGCTCGGATTATAGCGTTAGACGCCAACCCTGCCGTCAAGATCTAGATGGATACGTCGCCTCAGCAGCCCACAGTTCTATGGAAGATGGCAACAAAGAATTATGACTTCTCCTGGACCAGGAAACCTGCCATTTTCAGAGGAAGGATGTGATCTGCTGCTCGGATTATAGCGTTAGACGCCAACCTTGCAGCCAAGATCTAGATGGATACGTCGCCTCAGCCGCCCACAGTTCTACGGAAGATGGCAACAAAGAATTATGACTTCTCCTGGACCAGGAAACTTGCCATTGACCAAAGGAAGGATTTGATCTGCTGCTCGGATTATAGCGTTAGACGCCAACCCTGCAGTCAAGATCTAGATGGATACGTCGCCTCAGCAGCCCACAGTTCTATGTCACACCCAGCAGCCTTCCTTTCACCTACCGTTGGCTGAAGCTGAATTTCAATCATCGAGGTTCGTGAAGTATTTGTCTTGTGCAGTCAGCAATCTTCAGATGTGACGTTAGACGTCCGTGATGATTTGTTGGCCTTCACTTGGCGTCTACTTTTCACCTATCTTTGTCACCACCTCAGTACTCTTTGTGACGTGTAAACTAGCGCAACCTATGCCTGTGTACCTCTCCTTCTCATTGTGATCGATTTAGCACTTGTGATAGTTAAGTATGGTAGGGTTCATAACACCTCCATTCTGCACTATTCCTCTTTGTGTTGATTTGTCACATATGTGAGATAGTTGAGTGCTTACACCTTGCGTTGGTATCTTCTCTAAAAAATAACATTACAGTGGCGTGTCCAGGATTTGGCTGAGGGGGGGGGGGGTTGCGGCCGGGATCAAGGCGGGATGGGGTGGGGTACATGACATCATGCTACTGTCCCAGGTCAGCCATTTTGAAAACCGATGTCAAGAAGCTCCTCCTGTAGCCCCCTTCTTCAACAGTTATTCACCCGAACGGCCCCAGAGACTGTTCCGGAGGATCAGCGCACCACACGGGGACAAGTGTCGAACTTGCTTCGAGTTCCCTTTCTTCGTGGGCCTGCGGGACGATCGACCATGATGTTTCGGGGAAGCATTCTCTGGAACGCTCTCCCCTCTGATTTTAGAGTGATACGTGTCCCTGGTCCCTTCCGTGCGCTGTTGACTGTGCGCTGTTCTTCATGTTCTGGCTGCTCGCTGACAACAGGTTCTTCCACGTCTGGCGGAGTGTGACTGTCAGTCCGCTCCGAAAGTTCAACTGGAATAACAGCGACTTCGTCACTCCCACTGTTTCCTGTTGGAGCGGCAGCAGGAGTTGCGCCGCGACAGGAACGCTTTACAAAAATTCCAGGAAAAATTCCAGGCTCTGCTGGCTAGAGCTTGGCCTTTTGGGATGTCCCTGAGACATCGAAGAAAAGCCTTCGAGTCAACCAAAACACGATTCGAACGAGGATGATCGCCTGAGCCCTCGGCATTCGAATCGTGTTTTGGTTGACTCGATCGAAGACTTTTCTTCGATGTTTGTACCGTTGAAGACGCGTCGAGCGCGTCCCAGCAGGGATCACACTCTACAACACTCAACAGTACACAGTCAGGTCACCATGGTCACCGTGTTTCTGTAGCCGTGCATATGCTCACTGTACGTAGACTCTACTCTGTACACTGTACAGTACTATACTAGTCTGTAGTCTGTAGTGTACAGTACTATACTAGTCTGTAGTCTGTAGTGTACAGTACTATACTAGTCTGTAGTCTGTAGTGTACAGTACTATACTAGTCTGTAGTCTGTAGTGTACAGTACTATACTAGTCTGTAGTCTGTAGTGTACAGTACTATACTAGTCTGTAGTCTGTAGTGTACAGTACTATACTAGTCTGTAGTCTGTAGTGTACAGTACTATACTAGTCTGTAGTCTGTAGTGTACAGTACTATACTAGTCTGTAGTCTGTAGTCTGTACTAGTACAATCAACACCAGCTCGAGCACCGTACCGTGCAACCGCTTTTGGACAATTGTTTCAGGTCGCGCACGCGCGCGCCGAGCCTAGTCTAGCTAGACCGGCCCGGTGCCCTGCGCAGCTGCCTTTTATTTTTCGAAACCTAGGTCGAAATTTTTGAGGGGGGGGGGGGGCGCCCCCGCCCACCCCCCCCCCCCCCCCTAAACCCGCCACTGCATTATTCAGCTTAACTCCATCATTCAACAACTGCTTCTCCTCTGATGAGTTCCCCGTCATCTTTATGGAACGAAACAAGTTTTGTCAGGAGTAATACTACTTGCTTTCGTGGAGTGTGGCTGGTGAACTGTTCGTGCTGTTGTCTGCAAGCGTCGCATGGTCTCGTCGGGTCAAATGAAAAACCTATTACTACTATTTGACGGACCTATGGAAGATGGCAACAAAGAATTATTTATTATTTGCTCAACATCCGACTTTCAAAAAGAAGACATGAAAAGAAATGCAAAAGAATCTGCAGAGTTTCACACTGTACCTTTCTGTAGAATCGAGGTATGTGCTGATAAGTGGATGCTGCAGCGGCGGCAGCAGTCGGCGTGTGCCAGTCGGCAATGCACTGCGCCGTCATCTGCTCCACGTCCGCCTCCGATGCGGCCGACACTGCGCCCGATGGCCCGGCACCACCAGCAGCACCAGCACTGGTACTGCTACCTGTATCAGAACA